CCTGTAAAATAAAGGCTTTGATAGGAACTTGGGGAAGAAGATGAGGCCCCTGGTGGCTGGGGAGCTGCAGGGGTGGGGTTTCAGAGGCTGGGAAAGCTGCTCTGCTGAACACAGGGAGAAGAGTCTGGAGGGAGGTGTAAGGGGCAGTGATGGGAGAGGAAGAGGAGGGAGCTTTAGCATCCATCGAATCCTCTCTGAGGTCCAGAGAGGGAAAGTGAAATGCCTGAAGTTACACCACACGTGGGGATCAGAGCTGAGTGTGGGCGTATCCACGTCACGACCCCGTCAGGTTTGCGCTCTCTCACGTCCACTTGCACTACGGGCACAGAGTTATACACAGAGCCGTTCCACAGACACAGGCGCTGTCCCCTGGGTTGCTGTCATTTACATTTCAGGCTGCTCTGATCTGTCAGTAAGTTGGAGCAGTTGGGTCTGGCCTGCCTGCCCGCTTTTCCCACCCACTCCAGCCCTCATGCATCACGAAGTCCATCATGGGAAGCAGAACATTCAGGAACCCAGGGTCATGCTGTCTGTGGGTCTGTTCGGAGTGTTCCCTGGAGGACCCATGGAGCAGACAGGAGGTTCACCCCAAGAACTGACTCAGTGCTGCCAGGCAACAGGGGTCACGGCTGGGCCTGCCTCCTCAAGGGAGGATGTCTCAGTGTCTTAGTACAGAGCCAGAGGCCTCACCCAACCCAGACGTGGGACAGCAGTCCCCTACTTTCACATCTCTGGGAGATGCCAGGCGCCCTCCTGAATGCAGAGAGGGGCCTAGATTTGGAACAGGAGATCTGGGTTTCACCTAGTTCTGCCCCTGCCTCCATGAGAGGCCTTAGGTAAGCCCTTTCCCCTCTTTGAGATCTATGAATTTATGATGTTGAGCCAGGTGCTGGGGACCCAGGGATACGTAAGACACAGTCCTTACCCTTTAGGAGCTCAAGTGAGGGAAGACACAGCTTTCCCAGGTGGAGCAAAGAGCTCTTCAACTTAGGGTGGAGCCACGTGGGAAACTGGAGGCTGGGGCCGGGGAGGCTCAGAGGGAGGGGAGAGATGCGGCTGAGCGCTCAGGGCATGTGTGTGCATGTTTCTGGAATGAGGATAAACCCTCATATTGCACTGGTAACCCTCATGGTGCCACCACACCTCAAATCCCCTTTTACCTGTAACTGCCCATCCCCAGTCCCCTACTTGAGGAAGTAGTACCACCATTGGGTTTGGCTAGGAGTGACCACTGATAGGCTCAGGCTGAGCATCTGACCTAAATCCAGCCCAACCATAGGCCAGCTGGTGACTGGTGAAGGGCTTCATGGGAAAGGCTCCACCCTGTAGGGGGTGAGGGTGGGAACTAGCTGAGTCCATCAGAATGATTCTGCTGGGACTTGAACTAAGAAAATGCAGGAAATGAAGCCATCAGGAATAAGAAGTAAGTGGAGCTGCCACAAAGACAGAAGCAGACACACCACGGGAGAAATACCAGGCAGCCTGTGAGAGGGGGACCTGCCCCAGAGGGGCCCAGCCCCAGCTCCTGACTTTGGCTATTTTTATAAGCTTTCTTTTTTTTTTTTTTTTTCCTTAGAATGATCTGCTCCCAGAAGTGTATAGCCAGTTAAGGAGCCCTCTCATCCCCCTGGCATCCCAGAAAGCAGCGACCTCACGCCATCATCTTGTATGAGAGGCCATTGTGGGAAAATGGAAAGATCGGAGGACTGGGAATTTGGAGACCCGGCCTGGGTTCAAGTTCCTAAGCTTCCCCAAGATCCAGGTCTTGAAAGAAGGCGCTTTTTTTTTTTAAGTAATCTTTATGCCAACATGGGGCTCAAAGTCACAACCCCAAGATCAAAAGTCACATACTCTACCAAGTGAGAAGTGCTTTCTCCTTAACTGATTATGATCAGGCTAAAATGAAAATCACCAGCAACTTTGACAGGTGAAAGCAGCCAGAAAGGTAAAGATGGCTGATGCTTTCTCAGGGCATTCTCTGTTTGATGGAGGATGATAAGTTGAGAGCAGAGGATCCAGAACCTCTTTGACCAAGGAGTCTCTGGGGATATAGGAGAGTCATCAGAGAAAAGAAGCAGTTCTGGACCTAGATTGTGCTTAGCAGTCATTGCAGTCTCCTGGTGCGGTTCTCAGCTGACTCGTGTCTCACTCAGTCCTGGGAGAGCAGAGGGGCTGTAAGTAAAAGCTCAAAGAGCTGTTCCATTGAAAAGTCTGTTTTATTTATTTATTTATTTATTTATCACAGAGAGAGAGAGAGAGCACAAGCAGGGGGGAGCGGCAGGCAGAGGGAGAAACCCTGCTGAGCAAGGGGCCGGATGTGGGACTTGATCCCAGGACTCTGGGATCATGACCCGAGCCGGAGGCAGATGCTTAACCAACTGAGCCACCCAGGCGTCCCAAAAAGTCTGTGTCTTATTCAGGCATAAGCTGTCCTGTTTTGGGATCAGGTAAGAGAAGCATTCATTCCTGCTATGCTACTGACTTTTGTGTAAGAAAACCCAAGGGTGTTGGTGTCAATGCCTCAAAGAGCCATAGTGTTAAAAATATATATATAAAGCTTGTTCAAGAGAAAGGAGAGTCTTTTCAACAAATAGTGCTGGAATAATTGCACATTCACATGCAAAAAAAATGAACCTTGGCCTACACTTTGTACTATATGCAGAAAGTAGTTAAAAATGAACCATAGGTAAAACCCAAAACTAAAAAAATCCTGGAGAAAACAGAAGGAAATCTTTGTGACTGTGGATTAGGCGAAGATTTCTTAGATCCAACACAGCCCACAAAATAAAAAGCACGGTCCACAAAATAAAAAAATTGATGAATTGGACTTCATCAAAATTAAGAACTTCCACTCATCAGAAAGACACTTATTAAGAAAATGAAAAGCAAGCTACAGATTGGGAAAAAATTTTCAAGAGACATATCTGATAAAAGACTTATACCCAGAATATATATACTCAATACAGGTTTCCCCCACTCCCCGAAAGTAGAGGGTTCCTTAAAAACTTTTTTTTTCTTTTTTTAAAAGATTTTATTCATCCATTTGACAGAGAGAGAACACAAGCAGGGGGAGTGGGAGAGGGAGAAGCAGGCTTCCCACCAAGCAGGGAGCCCGATGTGGGGCTCGATCCCAGGACCCTGAGATCATGACATGAGCGGAAGGCAGACACTCAACGACTGAACCACCCAGGTGCCCCTGTAAAAATTTTCTTAAGCCAAAATGATGTAAGATGAAGAAGCAATTACCATTAATTTATAGGGAAAAAAGTTTGAGCCTTCCCAAACCAAAAAGTAACCTCTTTTAGGATTTTCTGATGTCTTAGGACACATCTTGCTAACAGAAGCACAAACTATATCAAGATAAGGCCCAGATGCTCACAGGCACGGTTGAAAACAATGGCGGCTTGCTGCTGAGATGCTGAGTGTAGTTCCCAGAGAAGGGGCTAGGTGGCGCCACTCCGGCTGCTCGAGTGCGCGTTGCTCACTACAAAACAGACGCTGAACATTATTTTTGCCTTTTTTTTTTCACTTTGTGGAACTGAATATCATCTTTGGATTTCACTCGGCTAGTGAAAACAGGTACTAATGTAGGTCCTTTTGTAAAAGTGAACTGGTGTAAGGTGAACTTTTGAGAAACGCGGATACCTATAATAAAACAACAACCCAATTAAAAAGGAGGAAGTTATTTGAACAGACTTTTCACCCAAGAAGATCTATGCACGACAAATAAGAATACAAAAAGATGCTCAACATCACTGGTCACCAGAGAAATGCAAATTAAAACCAGAATGAAATCACACTACGAATCCTATTCAGAGGGCTAAAAACAAACCTGAAACTGATAGTATCAAGTGTGGATGAGAAGGCTGAGCACCTGGGACTCTCACATATTGCTGGTAGGAATGTAAATGGTCCAGTCCCTCTGGAAAGCAGTTTGGCAGTTTTTTATAAGATTAAACATACACTTAATGTGTAACCTAGTGATCCCACTCTTACGTATTTACCCCAAAGAAATGAGAAACATGTTTACACAAAAATTTATAGCTAAAATGTAACTGCTAAGAAGTGGAAACCACCCACTCATTCTTCAAGTGGTGAATGGATAGATAAACCATGTATGGTCACACAATGGAATACTACTTGGCAATAAAAAGGAATTGAATTATTGGCACATTCAACAACATGGATGATTATACTAAGTGAAAGAAGGCAAACTTAAAAAGCTCATACCAAAGGATTCCATTTATGTGACATTATCGAAAAGGCAAAACTCCAGGGAAAGAAAACCAGCGGTTGTCAGCAGCTGAACATGGAGGGAGGGGTTGACTATAAAGGGGCCGGTAATATTTTCTATCTTGATGTGACGGTGGTTACCTGATTGTTTGCATTCATTAAAACTCACAGACTTGTGCATTCGAAATGGTGAAGATTATACTTCAATTTTTAAAAATGCAGAGTGGTATTCAAATGTCTTCTTCCCTTTCTCTGCCTTCCCTGTCGCTGCCCAACATCCTGTCATTAAAGCTCTTGTTCTTCTGGGGGGGAAATGCCCCAATTCGGCCTCCCGGAATGCTGCTTGGCTTCTGGAAACAAAAGGCCAGCCCACTATGAATGGGGTCAGGGGCCCACGTGTCTGTCTCTCTCCCTCTGTCCCACCCTGTCTGGCTAGGCCTGCTCACCAGGGCCTTTCTAACCTCCATTGCCCCTTCCTCCCTCCTGCTCACCCTGGCTGTTGGGAGTCCCAGATCCTTACGATCCAGGTGCTGTGTGGGCGAAAGAGTCTGCTTGGAAAGAGGGAGGCTCCTCACACTCAACTTTCCATAGCTCTAGCCCGTAAAGCAGCTGCGAGTCACCAGAATTTACTGCCAGAGAGGACTTCTACACAGCATCCACCTCACCTCATCCCTGAGCAAGGCCGCCCCCATCACTGCCTCAGGCTCTTTTGGACTGCCAGCATCTTGGTCAGAGCTGAGGCCATACCACACACAGAGCCACCTGGGCCGTCTTAAGGGAGTCACGAAAAGAGGCCTCGGGTCACAGGAAACAAGCAGCAGAGTCTTGGTAGGTGCTCGGGTTGAATTTCATGAACAACCAGTGCAGACACGTCATGGTGAGTGTGACAAGTCAGGGGAGGGGTATGTGAACACTCTTGAGAGAACACCCCAGTGAGTGCGCACCCCTGATCCCACACAAAATCATGACTGTAGATGTTTCTGAGAAATACTGGGGGCGCTGAGCCCTCTATGATGTCCACGTATAGAATATGAACTCACTGGTTCATGCAGTAAACACTACAATGTCACTGGGTGTGAGCAAACTCTAAGTGTGGTAAAGGCACTGTGGTGAATGTGAGCACACCATGCCAAGCTTGGTGAACACTCTGGGGACAGCACGGGAATCCCATAGTCTGTGGTGAAAACAACGGGTCGCGAACATGTTGTAATTACGGTAAGCTCGAGAGACGCTGTGTGTGAATGTAAGGCTGTGTCTGTGGTGGATGCACCAGGGGGACAGTGGGGTGGCCCTGGTTTAAGCTGGAGGAGCATTCTGTGGTGACAGTAAGCATATTAATGCAAGGTGGAGTGCTCTACTGGACATGTTTTGGGGTATCTGCTGGACCCATAGCCCATTCTGTGGGAATTTGCTCCAACCTAAGACCTGCACAAAGTAAGACAAGGTGCTCACAGGTTTCTTTCTTTTTCTTCCATTTCCTAAGCTGGAGTTATGGTGTTTCAGTTTTGCTCAGCTCTACTGGGATGTGTTGATGTGGTTACAAGGTGGAGAGGAGTCACACATGGGTAGGTTTGTAACAGAACAAATGGAAGGTAAACTCTCCAGGCTGATAGCTGTGAAAGTAGTCTCTTGATATCAAGACTCAACTCCTGATATCAAAGTTAGTAGTTAGGCATTTCGGGTCAACCCCTCCTAGGATAAGGGTGCTTATGATTGTGGTTGTGTTTTTAGTACGTACATGTGATTTTTTTTCTTCCCAACATCCATTTTTGCACCACAATTTTCCTTTGGGAAAGATCAGTCCCTGTGACTCCAGTGGGGCTGATCTACCTCTGGCTCCAGAAATGGGCTTATCAGAGCTTTCCATCCCATGGTTACAGGGACTGGGTCAGGAATGGGTCAAGGAGGGCCTCTCCCAGAACTGCTGGAACAATTGGGGAAGAGACACTTTCCTTCCCCTGGAGATTTGAGACGTGCTAAGAAGGAGCCTGGAGCTTCTGGAAGATACCACATGGAAACAGCTCTACTCTAGTTACTAGTGCTGTGTGACAAAATACCCCAAATCTTAGTGGCTTAAATGACCTATAGGTCAGGACTTCATGTAGGACTAGAGTGGGTAATTCTACTTTTTGTGACATCAGTTGAGGCCCCTCAGTGGTACTCATCTGGTAGATGGGCTGGTCTGGTCTGTCCAAGATAGCTATACTCACGTTTGGTGCCTTGGTAGGAAGGGATGGAAGTCTGGGCTCGGCTGGGACTACTGACCAGGACTCTACACCAGGGCTCTCCAGAATGGTGGTCTCAGGGTAGTTAGACTTCCCACATGGCAGCTGGCTTTCCCCCTAGAGTGAATGTCCCAAGAGATCCAAGAGGAAGCTGTGTGACCTTTTGTGTGTAGCCTTAGAAGTCCACCTCATTCTTGGTTGCAAGCCAGTCATAGGCCAGTGCAGATTCAAGGGGAGGGAAATGAGACTCTCTCTCTTGATGGCAGAATAGCACCGTCACATTGAACAAGAACATGTGCGACGGAAGCCATTGCTGTAGCCCTCTTCGGAAAATACAGACTGCTACACCCTCCTTGAGAATAAAGCCATCTCAGAGGAAGCTGTTGAGATCTGAGAAGAGAACAGCCCTAATGCTGTCTGAGTACCTGGATCCAGTTTTCCCTAGGACGACAGTTAGGAGAGCCATCGGATTTCTTTTCTGCTTAAACCAGTCTGAGTTGTGCTTTTCCGACTGCAATGGAAAAAGCTTTTACTCTTGGTGTGCCAGTCATCTACTGCAGTGTAACAAACCACCCCAAAACTCAGTGGTTCTTTAATAAAAATTTATTATTTCTCATGATTCTGTGGGTTGGCTGGACCATTCCTCTGCTGGTCTTATTTGGGCTCACTCATGCAACTAGTGTGGTGGAAAGTTCAAGATGGCCCACCTGTCTAGCTGTTCGCTGGGGACCTTAGTGCTCCTCCATGTGGTCTCTCATCCTCCAGTAGGATAGATTGACTTCCTTACAGGGTGGTCTCAGGACAGTGTTCCAAGAGAGTGAAGGTCTCTTGAGGTCTAAACTCCAGAACTTGTAAAGCATCACTTCTGTCATATTCCTTTGCTCAAAGCAAGTGACAAAGCCGGCGCAGGTCAAAGGAGTGAGTAAATAGACTCCTCTTCATGCTGGGAGAGTTGCAGAGCATTTGTGGCCACAGTATGATAGCTGGATTGTGTTAGATGGGAATATCTTTGGATGTATAGGAAACAGGCTCTGTGTGCCAGGCCGGCAGAGTCAGACTATTTGAGCATGTTCTCACTGAGGAGCATATAGTTGGAATGTGATTTCCATGGGGGTTCATCTGAGCTGAGGGCGCATGACAAGGTCTACACTAGATCACTGTTTTCTAGGGGCAACTTTGAGTTAAGACCTCCTGCGTCTGAGTGACTTCACCTCTTGGAGCCTCAGATTCTCCTCTGTAAAATGGGTGTGATCATCCCCGCCTCACGGATCTGCTGTGAGGCTGAAGATGATGACCGTGAACGTGCTTTGTAAATTAGAGTGCCAACCACACGCGATTGAACGTTATCCTGGAAGGGATAATCAGGGTGGGCCTGGGGGTCAGAGACGGCAGGAAGGAGGAGACAGAGATAGGCCTCAGAGAGATGGGGACCCTCACACTGATGGGGAGGAAGGGTTGTATTTCAAGATACAGAAAGTGAGGAATAAAACTATAAAGGCACAGAGGTGGGACAGTGACAGACTGTACACAGGACAAGGAGAACGAGGCCAGAGAGTGAGCTCTCCCACTGCCCTGGACTCTGGGTTTCTGGGCTTCCAAGTGCTGACTCAGCAGCCCCTGATTGTCACTCAGAGCTGCACTCAAGGCCTCCAGTCCCCGGCAATCACCAGCGGCCTATCCCTACCCAGGCCTGCCAAGCCTCCTCAGGCCACAGCGGGGGCGATAATGGGACTGTGGGAGAGGGGTCAGAGAGCATGCTAGAGGCAGAGCACCTTCTGGAGCCACCAGGAGCACATCAGACCCTCCTCCCCCCACCCCCTCACCCCCCAGTGTTCCCAAGCTCCTTTCCCCTCAGCAGGGTGGGGACTGCGGCCATAGGCTTAGGACGCAGGTGGCCGGGCTAAACTGGGCTCCAAGCCCCTTGATCCCTTGGACAGGGGTGGGAGTGATTGATAGGTTTCCAGTGTGTTCCAGGCAGGGGCTTGGAGCTGCTACAGACTAGCCTGGCCTGTGGAAGCCCCAGATGGCCACTTGTGGCTAGGGCTGACCTATCCAGGCCAGGCCCTGACAGTCCAGATCTGTGGCTACCTCCCAAGCCCTGTCTATCCTGACTGAGGACAGCAGGCCTCTTCTTCCTCAAAGGAATTCTGAGCGGGGCAGTGGGGGCAGACTCAGATTCCCTCCAGTCTAGTCCTGCACGTCTCACAGCTCCATCCCACTTGGGACAGGAAAGGATGCTTTGATTGGGGGTGGAGTAGGTGGTGGTGGGAGGGGGGAGGGAGGGAGGGAGGACATGAGCTGGAGGAACACAAATGGCAGGGTTGGGATTGGAACCCAGGGACTCTAGCACACAGTCCTTCAGCCCTGTGCCAACCGTGACACTGACCATTTGGGGCTAGGGAAGTGGGGTCTTCAGTGTGAGTTCTGGGCCAACCAAGGAGACTCAGGCAGGATTCGTGGCCTAAAGGGCTCCATTTTGCCAAACCCTCACCCCATCGGGTATTCTGCCTCCCACTACCGACAGAGAAGAGAGGGTACAGTTGGGAGGCTGGGGAGGCCTCTTTCACATACCCTTGGATTCTAGAGTGGAGGCCTTGAAAAGCAACTGATTATCCTGACCTTGACTTCTGATCCTCTGGTTTACTTCCCCCCACCTCCCTCTCCTGTATACCTTGCTCTCTTTCCCCAGCCTCAGTGGTCACATTGCTTCTCTGGCCTCCATCTTGATCCCTGGCCAGACTTCTTGCAGCTGTCATGTTTTCCTCTCTCTCCTCCCTACAATGTTTGTTGTTAGCATCTTATCAACCTTGCCAGCACTGGTGAGGGCCTTGGAGCTTGCTCAGTCCAAATTTTTGTTGCACGGGTGGGAACACTGAGGCCCAGGTCATTGCTTGTCCAAGGTCATACATCAGAACAAGCAATAGAGCCAGTACTAGGCTTTTGACCCCCAAGTTCCTATTTTTCTCCTGTCCTTTGATCTGGCTATTGCAGTTCAGTCTTTGTCTGTCCCCAGACAAGTAGAGTTCTTTTTTAAAAAAAGATTTATTTATTTATTTGAGCGAGAGGGGGCAGGGAGGGGCAGAAAGAGAGGGAGAGAGAGTCTTAAGCAGACTCCATGCTGAGCATAGAGCCCGACTCAGGGCTTGATCTCATGACCCTGTGATTACGACCTGAGCCGAACCGAGAGTCGGAGGCTTAACCGACTGTGCCACCCAGGTGCCCCAGACTAGTAGAGCTCTTACGGACTTCACTCAGTTCAGATAGCCTTCAAAGCCACGGTGTAGCTACTTCATGGTTTGACTCTGACAACAAATTGGACGAGACTGGGGCTGGCTACAGAATCTATGGGCCAAGGGCTAGGGGCTGCAAGGGAGACCAGGCTCCAGGAGAAAAAGCAAACCAGATCAGTGCTTTAGGTCAGCTCGCAGGCCATTGCTGCTCAACATCCTTCTTCCATACGCACCCTCTCTCCCAGCAGCCCATGTCTAGGGTGATGCTCAGAGAAACAGAGTTCCTAAACTCAAGCTTACACACACACACACCCTCAGAGACAAAGACACAGACACACACAAGCACACATACCCAGCCCTCTGGACGAGGGTCTGCACTCCTCACTAGGAGATCATTACCATGTGAGGCTCATTCCTCTGAATGCAAGGACATGATTCCTCCGTTGTGGCCTCCCAGTGCCCAACCTAAAGCCTGCCATGAATAGGAGCTTAATGAGGGTGTATGGAACGAGTGAGCCGACACTTGGTATTAGAGGCCATTGGGACCAGGCCTCCATCTCCAAGCCCTGGCATGAGGCAGGAAGCCCAGCCTAGGCCCGATGAGCCTGGCACATGAGAGGGGTCCTAGCAGCTCTTGCTGTGGTTGCTAGGACAACCCCTCCCCATCTTCTGCCTCCAGCTGGGACTCTAATGTGGTCCATGAACCATCAATATCACCTGGGAGTTGTTAGGAATACAGTCTCAGGACTCACCTCAGACATACTGAATCAGAAACTCGGTGTGGGGCCCAGCAGTCAGCCCTCCAGGGGATTCTAATGCATGCTAAAGCTATGCATTAGAGTTGGCCGCTGCCTGGGCGGACAGGCAGACTCCTGTGGGCTGCTGGCTGGGCCGCTGCTCAAGTCCAGAAGCCCAGACAGCTGCTTACGCCACCTATGGGTAAGGCTGTGCATGCGCAGTAGGCCCTATACCTGAAGTCAGGCACATACACACGCACAAATCTATGACCGTCCGGCAAGGTCACGGAGAGTCTATATGCAGGGCCTCTGGGGTCCAGTGGACATAGACAGGCACCCGCATAGACAGAACAGGTAGGGGCAGGGAAGAACTGTTCTCACCAGGTGAAATCCTGTGTCCTCTAAATTTCTCTGAGTGTTCCCGCAGTGGCCAGAGAAGCTGAGTAGTCGCCCAGCTCAGACCAGGCACCCCCAGTTGGGAGACCAGGTGACTTACGTGCCTAAGAGAGTTTGGAGTATGTGCTAACACCAGCAAAGTTCTTTCTCTGTAGGGGCGGGTCAGGGGAATGTGGGGGATCAGCAAGCAAAGCTTAGGCAAGAGCATACACCCCCACCCCCCGCCCCCCGCCAGCCATGAAATGCTGCCCAGATGTAGAATAGCCCTTGGCCCCTTCCCAGGGCTGCTCCCAGTGCCCACCCTACCCCTCCATGTGTCTCTCCACTCCGGTCTGTGGAGCCCCAGGCCGCTGCCCACCTGGCCTCTCCCCAGGTCCTGCAGCCTCTCCCCCTAAGGATCTGGAAGTGAAATCCAGGCCTCTGGGAGCTCCAGGGGATGTGGGGAGGGGACGGGGAGGCTGAGCTTCCCTGCGCTCAGATCTGGTTTCGCCGCGCTCCCCCTGGCACACTGCCATGGGCTGAGCCACCAGCTGCGCTATATAAGGCCTGGCCGCTGGACAGGAGAGACGAAGACTAGAACCCCCCAGCTGAGGAGTCCCGCTCAGGACACGGTGAGCTCCACTCCCATTTTCCTCACCCCATGCCTGCATTTCCCTGCCCCGCTCAGCTACTCCTGCCCTCCCCTGATCACCCTGCATCTCCCCCAAAGAAGATTCCCCCCTTTCTGCTTTGAAGTTCTCTCTTTTCCCCCCATTGGTCCAAAGTCCTCCCCGTCCTTCACCTGAGGTCAGGGACTCTCAAATGGTCCCAGTCAGGGTCTGTACCTCTGGGTGTCTGCTTTTTTCTTGCGGTCAGCCAGTCTGCTTTGTCCGAGAGTTCTGAGGAGCGTGGGATGGGGAGCCTAACTAACAGAGCATATGCTGAGGAAACTTCCGTGGCCTGCCAGATGGGAAATGGTTTTTCCACAAGGTGCCTCAGGCCACCTTGGCCTCCCAGACAGTCTCAGACTGGTCTCAGACTGAATGCTGCGTAGCACTCAGCTCCCTGCTCCGAGCCCAGGAGCTTGGGGTAAGACACACGATGGGGACCTTGGGGACCCCCATGCCTCTGTTCCCTTGACTGAGAAAACGGTGGTGGCGGAGCGGGGAGTGGGGGTTGAGGGGGAGGTTAGTAGGCTTAGAGCTAAAAGATCTGCAATGTGGGATTGGTTTATTCTTCTGGGACAGCCAAGTGCTTTTGGATCTTTTTTTTTTTTTCCGGAAAAAAAGGAATCTCCTCTTTCCCACCACACCCTGGACTTTGGATGTTGAAGGGAGTCACTTTTGAATCTCCAGGAACTGGTCAGATTCCGGGTTGGCCAGAGCTCTGGGGAGAGATAAAAAATGAACAAGAGCCTGGGCCACACCCCCACGGATCTTTGCCTTTATTGTCAGGCCCACTTGTCTCTCCTGGTTCCTACAGCCCCTGACCCATGCTTAGCAGTTATTGGGGAGCCCTAGCTTCACACAGTGTGTCCCCTCTGCTCTCCTTCAGGGAGCTCCTGGCTGTGTAACTCCCAGCTAGGCCCCACCAAACAGGCCAGAAATGTGTTCCAGCTGCAGCCTGTGCACATCTGGGAATGTGTTCATGGAGGTCGTGCATCTGAAGCATCTGTGCCCTCCAGCTTGCACGTCCTGTGAGGGGCCGTGGCAGTCAGGGCTGGGCTGCACAGTGTTCATGGGTAGCCCCTTTGTGCAAGAGTGTGAGCCCCACCAAAGGGTAGCGAAACATGCCCCCAAGCCCAGGTCTTAGAAGTGATAAATGAGTCACTCAAGAAGCTGCTGGGAGTAAGCCCAAGCCCCTCCCCATTGACAAGGTACCTCCTCACCCCTGCTCTCCCTTGTGCCCCATCTGGATATGGGGTCCTGGAGCCTGGATCTGAATCCAGGTTTGCCTTACTTGAACTCAAGTCCTGAGCCTCTGCACCTCCCAAGCTGCCCAGATTCACAACTGGGGAGGTGTTACCTCCCATGAGACTTTATTCTGTCTACCCATCCACCCCCGATAGGTCAAAAAATAGTTCTGCTCAGGCAGTAAGAGATGACAGAAACGTGGAACCTGATAAGCTTTGTTTCTTCGCAGGTCATTGGATCTGAGAAACTTCCCAGGGGACTACGTTCCAAGGGGGTCCCAACTCTGAAGCACCCATCTCCTGCCATGTTTCCCACAGGGCCTGGGGAAAAGATGGTGGGGACCAAGGCCTGGGTGTTCTTCTTCCTGGTCCTGGAAGTCACCTCTGTGTCGGGTATGGGCTAAGTGTCTGCTCTCTCCCAAGCCTCTACTTGTCATAGTGAAGTCATATCTGATCTGGGACCCAACTATGGGCCACAGCAATGGCCTTAAGATCTCAGGCTGGTCTATAGACTTATTAATAATTTATATCCTGCTGTTTTCCCAGAGAATTTGAGATAGTTCCCAATATTAAAACCCACAGGACAGAATCTTTTAAATGAGGGGGGGGGATTAGCTGTCACTCAAAGGGAGGAAAAAGGATGAGGGTTATCCCTGCTGGGTGCTAAATTTAGCTCTGAGATTCCTGGCAGTCAAAGCAAAAGGGAATCACAAGGGATCACCGGGTTCTCAGAAGCAGGTTGGGTGTGATCTGGTTTTAGTTTCATCAAAATTCTTCTCGCTTAAAGCTCAATTTCATTTAGACCATGCAGCCGAATTTCACAGATTCCAGACCCCCTTCTGGTCCCCTCTGACCCCATCCTCTGGTGACCCTGAGTTCCAGAAGGAACAGGTAGAGGGCATATGCCTGGTGCACCTGAGCATCATTGCTCCCAGCCCTGCCCTGTATGCTCTCTTGCATCACCCCTGCCTCTCCTGATTTCTAATGACCTACTCAAGTAGGGCAAAAAATGCTCAAAGCCCTCTTGTAAAGCTGCATGCCCTGCAGCCTTTGTGAGCCCTTGCACAGGAACAAAGCCTGTCTCACCATTTTGCCAAACCCCATGCGCGCCCAGCTCCCACCTTGCCCTTTCCATCCTGACAGCTGCCGTTTGTGAAAATGATTAACATTCAGCCATCTGAGGGGAAATCAGATTAGTTTGATTAAAAAAGCCCCTATCACCCCAATTAAGCAGCAGAGAGAATTCTGATTTGGCTCCTCCCATGAGAATTAATTGCCTTTCAAAGCTTGTCTGCTCTCTGCTCTCCTTCCCCTTCCCCCCTCAGGAGCCCCCAATCCAGCCTCAGATGGGGTGGGGCTGGAAGTTGCTTGTGGCCTGAGGACCCTGTACCCATCTTTAGGAGTTGCTAACACTTACCCAGCAAACACCGTGTTAGGCATTGCTCTCAGTGGATTTTATGAATGAGCTTATTTAATCTCCGGAATCCTTTGAGGCAAGAACTATTCTTATCCTCACTTTATGATGAGGGAACAGGGGTCAAATGAGTAAAGTATCTGCCTCAAGGTCAAACAGGACATGGCAGAGCCTCTGGAACTCACACTCTCAATCTCTGTATACTTCAGGGATGTTTATTTGGGCCACCTCATGAAATTCTCACACCAAGTGGACCACCATCCTCTGAGGTGGGAATTAATATCTCCATTGTATAGATGAGGAAAATAAGGCTCCATTCTGCCAAGAAGGACAGGCCCAGATCCTAACATAGGAGCCCCAGCCCACTGGTGGCTCAGCAGCATCTGATGATCCATTTTTAGAACAAGAGCAATAAGACAACTACATCTGCTGAGCATGCACTCGCTCCATGCCAGGTCTCTTTACATTCACTATCACCCTGAATGGGCACCGGAACCCTACAATGTAGCAATTGTTAATGCAGCCCTGTGTTTTGGGAAACGCAATTAGAAGAATAAAGGTTCCGTGAGGTTGCACAGCTAGGTAGTGGCAGAGTGGAGATTTGAACCCATGTCCAGTGCTCATGCTACCTCCACCACATCACCTGCTTCCCTGCATCTTGAAAGGCTGGGGTAGCAGGATGCTGCTGGGCCCTTGTAACTAACAGTCCTGGCCTCTCACTTTCTCCTCCTTGCCCTCAGGGAGGCAGACGATGCTCACCCAGTCCGTAAGAAGAGTCCAGCCTGGGAGGAGGACCTCCAGCATCTTTGCCAAGCCTGTTGACTCTCTGGAAAGTGAGTTGTGGCTGGAACAGGGAGGATCAAGAGAGGGGTTCTTTACTGAGCTTGCTGGGAGAATCTCTGAAGCCAGGGCACAGTGTCCTGGTTTCCATGGAAACCCACTTTTACAAGGCATTTAACCGACATCTCTGTCCAGGCAGATAGACCTAGGAAATAGGACAGCTTAGAATGTGAAGCTGCCTGACATATTCAGGAATGCTATAGAGCTTGCTGGGGCCAGAGCACAGGCTGGTGGGAGATGGGGGGGGGGGGGGGGGGGGGATGGAGAGAGAGCCGGGGCCAGCTCACCAGCTCACCCTCAATGCCTGGCTAAGGGATTCAAAGCTGGTGAGTGGTGGGGTCCAAGCCACCCGGAGAAAGCTCACCCTGACTGCAGTGTCGGGGAGGGGCGGGGGTGGGAAGAGGGAAACTTGGAAGTAGAGAGACCAGGCAGGGAGTTACTGGCATGGTAGAGCCAGGCTGCTGAGAGCTTTAATGGAGTGGCGGGAGCGGAAGGTTAAAAGGCTGGAGGGATGCTGGAGAGATAGATGCGACAGCATCCGAGACCAATGGAGGTGGGTGAGAGGTATTGGGAGTGAGTCCCAGGAGTTAAGCAGAAAAGAAGGATGGAGCTCCCCTTGAGGCTCTGGGGCCTGGCTCCTCCCTGACCTGCCTCTACCTCTCAGGTCCTGGTGAGTGGACAACATGGTTCAACATCGACCACCCAGGGGGGCAGGGTGACTATGAGCGGCTGGATGCCATTCAATTCTACTATGGGGACCGTGTGTGTGCTCGGCCCCTGCGGCTAGAGGCTCGGACCACCGACTGGATGCCTGCGGGCAGCACTGGCCAGGTGGTCCATGGCAGTCTCCGTGAGGGCTTCTGGTGCCTCAACAGGGAGCAGCGGCCTGGCCAGAACTGCTCCAATTACACCGTGCGCTTCCTCTGCCCACCAGGTGAGCCCGGACAGTCCCTGAGCCCCTGCCTCCCACCAGCCTCGGCACAGGGAGAGGCCAGGATTGGCAGCTGGCCACGGGAACTCTGGATATCACACGCATGCACAGGCTTTGACTCCCTCAGAGAAACACATTAATGTCATGAGAGCCATGATCTTCCCAAGAATGTTCTGTGCCAATGGATACTTTCCGTTCAATCCACTTATTGAGTGTGAGTGGCACAGAGGTGAAGACCACAGGCTCCGGAGTTGGGCTGCTTGCGTTTGAATCTTGGGCCTACCATCTGAACTGTGTTCCTTAGGCAAATTTTCTTTTTTTTTTAAATTCAATTTTATTATTATTTTTTAAAGATTTTATTTATTTATTTGAGAGGGAGAATGAGCGGTGGGGAGGGGCAGAGGGAGAGGGAGAAGCAGGCTCCCTGCTGAGCAGGAAGCCTGATGCAGATCCCAGGACCCAGATCAGGAGTGGAAGGAAGATGCTCAACTGACTGAGCCACCCAGGCACCCCTTGGGCAAATTTTTTGAAGCTCTCTGAGCCTCAGGTTTCTCACCAATAGAACAGGTAAAAAAATTAGTAAATATGAATACACCTTGATGTGGGTTATTATGAGAATTAAATGAGACAATGGATGTAGCGGGTTTAACCCAGGTGAACATTCACTCAGTGTTAGTTTCTATTATTGCCCTTATGTGCCAGACACTGGGCTCGTTATAGTCATTACTCAGTCTTTATAAGTGACCTGTGAGGAATCTCCATTTTGACAAGTTACTCCAGGCCTGGAGAGGTTAGGTAATTTCTCACGATTCTGCAGCTGAGAAGTGGGGAGCTGGAATTTGAACTCACATCGGTGTTTACAGAGTCCAAGAGTTCATGCACGACATCCTCCCTCTCCACATAGGATAATACAGAGCCAGCTGCAAGACTGTCCACTTCTCAGACGGTCACCCTCCCTCTCTGGGTGGGTGCGCACAGCCTGACCCCACAGGCCCAGGTGGCAGTGGTGGTCATCCAGAGTGGGAACTCAGGCTGGGCAAGGTCGGAGGTCCCCATTCCTGCACACAGGCCTCAGAGCAGAGGTGAGGGGGTGGGGAAGCGTGAGGTCTGAGTCACTGAGGTCCCGGACCCTGACTGGGACGGAGCCCTTTCACAGGAACATATGACTGTTTCCACACTGATGGAGCGGGAAGATGGTGCTATCCCTGCACATCCTAGGACAGCATATCCAGGTCCCAGTGCTTGGCCAGCAAGTCCCTCTAAGAGCCACCCCTGGCCCATCTGGTACCTCTGTGCAAATTAGAGACACCACTTCCTCAGGACTCTTGACTTTCATCTGTTGGAAAAGTCATTGCAGTAAATATAAATATCAATGATGTCTCTGATGTGAACAGAGACCCTGTCTCTCTGAGATAAAACAGCCTCAGGGGCAGATTTCCTGACAGAGTTCCCTCGGGAGGCAAGTCAGACCATCCGCTGATCCTCTTTGCAGGGTCCCTGCGCCAAGACACAGAGCGCATCTGGAGCCCATGGTCTCGCTGGAGCAAGTGTTCTGCTGCTTGTGGTCACACTGGAGTCCAGACCCGAACACGCACCTGCTTGGCAGAGACTGTTTCACTCTGCAATGAGGCCTCTGAGGAGGGCCGACTCTGCATAGACCAGGCCTGTACAGGTACTACTCTTGCTCCAGGTGCTGGGAAGGCATGCAACTGAGCTGAACCAGCCTAGAAGGATAGGGCAGAGGGTCAGACTGAGAATGATTCATTCATTCATTCATTCACCAAGTATTAAATGAGCATCTGTTATGTGCTCTGATGGGGGATGTAGAGGATAATGTGGGAGCACAGAGCAGGGTCAATTTTAACTTAGGGGAATCAAGGATGGCTTCCTGGAGGAAGTGTCCTGGGCTAAGTCTTGAAGGATGAACAGGAATTAGTCATGCAGGCTGATAAGGAAAGGTAACAAAGACCTAAGGGGGAGGGGAAGCGTATGTGAGTCCATAGGCTGAGATGTGCCTGAAGGAGAGCCAGAATCCACATAAGCCCTCCTGATGTGGCCCCTTCTTCCATAGCCTGTGACCTGACCTGCCCCATGGGCCAGGTGAATGCTGACTGTGATGCCTGCATGTGCCAGGACTTCATGCTACACGGAGCTGTCTCCCTCCCTGGGGGTGCCCCAGCCTCAGGGGCCACTGTCTACCTGCTGACTAAGACGCCTAAGCCACTGGCCAAGACAGACAGCAATGGGAGGTTCCGAATCCCTGGCTTGTGCCCTGATGGCAAAAGCATTCTGAAGATCACAAAGGCCAAGTTTGCCCCCATCATGCTCACGATGCCCAGGACTAGCCTAAAAACAGCCACTGTCAATGCAGAGTTCATGAGGGCAGGTACTGTTCTCTGGGGGAGGGCTGGGCAGGAAGGCTAGGCTTTTAAATAAAGGGATCATAGTGTTAAGAGCTGGCTTTGCAGCTTACAGAGTAAATTCCCAAATCCTTACCATGACCCACAAGGCTCTACATCATCTGGCTCCCCCATACTTCTCTGTTCTCCTCTTCCATTACTCTCCCTTCCATCCCCACTGTGAGTCACTCTACTCCAGCCAGAATAGCCTCCTATCTGTTCCTCAAACATGCAGGCACACACACTCCTGCCTCAGGGCCCTTGCACTTGCTATATCCACTGCTTGGAGTATTCTTCCCACAGATGTTGACAGGGCTTGCTCTCTCAAGTGTATGAATTCTTCCCTGGCCACCTTATCTAAAATAGTCAATTATAATACATTATGAGATTTGGAGTTTATAGAGAGGCTGGGGGAATCCAGAAATGGTGCAGAATAGCCAGCATATTCTGCTGGAGGCAACAGAATGGGAGTATTGCACTATTCAAAACAGCCAGCTCTGTCCCAAAGGCAATGCTTAGGAATCTTGGCTTGCACAAGGTCCCCTTGGTTCTTTACCGCCCCACCCAAATGCTGCTTGAGAGGATGCAGAAGCTGATCCTAGGCCGAGGGTGTGGAGTGGGTGGACTCCATTCTGGACCACTTCCGTTAGAGAGGAGCTAGGAGTGGGAGGAGGCGTAAAGTCATACAATTTTAACACACGCCAAAAAACTTGAGGGAACAAGGCTCTAGACTATCTGCCACAGAGAAAAAAAACAAATCACCATTTCTTGTCTCCTGTCCCAGAGATTCCATACATCGTGATGAACCCAGAGACAAAAGCACGGAGAGCTGGGCAGAGTGTGTCCCTGTGCTGTAAGGCCACGGGGAAGCCCAGTCCAGACAAGTATTTCTGGTGAGTGTTCTGCCAGTTTCCTTGCCAAGTCTTCCTGGGGACCAGACGTTTCTTACATTGGGTCTGGACTTATTAATCATAACAATAACCAACAGGATAAAGTTATTAGGAAGGCCTTAGCACAGAGCCCACAGGTTGGCATTTGTAAGTGGGAGCCAGTGGGGTTGAGGCCACCCCATCAACCAGCCAGCCCTGTTATTATCTTCTTGCCGCTAGGGTCCCCACAGAGCAGCTCTGGTCTCAGGGTCCTGACTTGGATATCCCTGGGACACAGAACAAGGTTCCCCAGCCCTGCTTCCCCTCCCAAAAGCACACAAGGTCAGAGTCCCCGAGGGCTGAGTCCTCTAGCCTTCACAGATATTTATTTCACAGCCATTGTCTTGTCTGATGCTCCAGCAATTCTGTGAAGTCAGCTAGGGAATCACAGACCAGGAGGCTAAAGCTCAGAGAGGTGAGATGATTTGTCCAAGGATCCACAGCCAGGTAGTAGTGAGGCTGGGACTCAGAATGAAGTCCCTTGACTCCCAGGCCAGTCAGTGCTCTTGGATGAGCTAAATCACAGGTGGTGTTAGCATCTGCAGGGCCCCAGGCATCATCTGCCTCCCTGGCAGCTGGCTCCTGGCCCTCTCCCCAGGGGCACCTGCTTTCCCACCATCCCCTCAGGCTCTGCTCCATTCCTTGCAGGTACCACAATGACACGCTCCTGGACCCCTCCCTCTACAAGCATGAGAGTAAGCTGGTGCTAAGGAACCTGCAACAGGACCAGGCTGGCGAGTACTTCTGCAAGGCACAGAGTGACGCTGGGGCTATGAAGTCGCAAGTGGCCCAGCTGACTGTCATAGGTAAGCCTGTCAGCGTCCCCGCGTGTGCCACAGGGCCGGGGGAGCACCCAAGTGGCCATATCTGGGCAGTAAAAGGTCGGGCTTTTCTGTGCTGTGCACAGTGCTATGCCCTCTAGGATACAAAGATCTCACAGTCCTGAATCCTACCCTCACGGAGCTGCCAGTCCAAGAGGGTGAAACAGAAATAAGAGACAAATAAATAGAGATAGAAAAATGCACTGAAACAGGAGATAAGATGAGACACAGAGGAGCGCCTGGGTGGCTCAGTCCTCAGGCGTTTGCCTTTGGCTCAGATCATGATCCCAGGGTCCTGGGATCGAGCCCCGCATCAGGCTCCCTGCTCGGTGGGAAGCCTGCTTCTTCCTCTCCAACTCTCCCTGCTTGTGTTCCCTCTCTCGCTGTGTCTCTATCTGTCAAATAAATAAATAAAATCTTTAAAAAAAAGAAAAAGAAAAAGATGAGACACAGAGACCTTTCAGTGTGAGTGAACTTGGATGACTGCTTGAGGGGTCAGCTTTTCAGCTGGAGTTTAAATAGTGGGTCACAGCCTTGGCTACTCATTGGGATCACCTGCTGAATTTTTTAAAATACTGATGACTGGGTCTTACCTCCACAGAGTCTGATGTCATGGGTTTGGGATATGGTCTAGGCATGCACAGATTAAAATCTCCCCCAGGTGATTCTAATTTGCAGCCAATGTTGTGAAACCCTGGCCTTGAAAAATGGCCAAGGACTGTGTGTATGGAGGTCTAGAGGGCTGGCCCCTCTGGATTGAGGGGCCAGCGTGAGCTAAGGTTTACAGAAAAGGGTGACCTGATTAGAGCTGGCTTTCAGAAGTGATCTGGAGGGGGAGAGACTCGAGGCCAAGACCAATCAGGAACCTGTACTTGCAAAGTGGGGGGTGGGAGGGCGGGGAGGAGGAGATCTTAATAGTTGGCCTAGGGGCGCCTGGGTGGCTTAATGGGTTGGGTGTCTGCCTTCCACTCAGGTAATGATCCTGGAGTCCTGGGATCGAGCCCTGCCTCTGGTTCCCTGCTCTGTGGGGAGTCTGCTTCTCCTTCTCCCTCTGCCCCTCCCTCCTGTTCATGTTCTCTCTTGCTCTCTCTCTCAAATAAAATAATAATAATAATAATAATAACTGGCCTAAATAAAACTAAACAAAAGGCAGGAGAGAGAAAATTTATTGGAAGGATTCTGGAATATTTCATGGACTCCGAGAACACTGAGCACAAGACCTCAGGGCAGACAGGACGCAGGGCATTGGGGCTACTGGAGAGGAGATGTGGAGCCCTCTCCACAGTGGTTCCCAATCCATAAAACCAATGTTCCCACCTGTGACAGTTATCTGTAACACTGCCTTACCATTCTGAAGTCAAACTGATAGACAATAACTACATATGATTTCTAAATACATGTGCCCATGGTCTGAACTATAACATAAAGAAAAAAGAAAGTAACTCTAATTCAAAACACTGTATATATTTCAGACAGTGTATATATTTCAAAGCATAAATGTTTTTGGCATAACAACATGAGAAGGCTAACCCAGAGGTCAGACACTTGCACTTAAATCCAGTCACCATGAATAGAACAGCTACAAATCCTGATGGATACAGGAGTATAATATTGGTGGTTCACATTCCTTAGGTAATGCTGCTGCAGGTACGCAGTTTTCCTGAGACAAGGAACAATTCTTGGTATAGTTCCAAGCTAAACCAAGCACAATCTTAGCTTGATTTATATGGCAGTTGCGTTCTTTAAAAATTCAGCGTATGGTTAAAGCCACATAAAAAAGAGTAGGCCCTATTCATTTGAAACAGGTTTTCCACCTACATGACTATCTGCTGGGATACATGAACTTCATGCAGACAAATTCTTCATGCAGAGCAGTGCCAGGCCCTCGCAGGACAAAGGGCAGCAAGGCCCAGCCCCCACCCCACCCACTCTCAATTTTAGTGGTAACTCAAAACACTCTCACAAATTTTCAAGACCCCTCTACTGAGAACCATGACTCTAATGGTCTCAGTAACCAACTCCCTTTCCATATATATAAAATGGGATTAATAATAACTATTCCAGGGACACCTGGGTGGTTCAGTTGGTTAAGCATCTGCCTTCAGCTCGGGTCATGATCCCAGGGTCCTGGGATTGAGTCCCAATCGGGCTCCTTGCTCAGCGGGGAGCCTGCTTCTCCCTCTGCCTGCCACTCCCCCTGCTTTGTGCTCTCTCTCTCTCTGACAAATAAATAAATACAATCTTTTTAAAAAATGATAGGGGCGCCTGGGTGGCTCAGTCGTTAAGCGTCTGCCTTCGGCTCAGGTCATGATTTCAAGGTCCTGGGATCGAGCCCCACATTGGGCTCCCTGCTCAGCAGGAAGCCTGCTTCTCCCTCTCCCACACACCCTGCTTGTGTTCCTTCTTTCGCTTCGTCTCTCTCTGTCAAATAAATAAATAAAATCTTTAAAAAAATAAAATAAAAAATGATAAAAAAAATGGCTATTCCCTCTCCTTCAGAAGAGTTCTGTGAGAATCAGGATCATGGATATGCAAGTACTTTGAAAACCATAAAGCCCTCCAGAGAGGTGAGGTAAAGGTACCCTTTTGTGTAGGACACGACTTACTTTTAATATTCACACTGTTTCCCTCCACAGCCGCTCATGAGACTCCTTGCAATCCAACCCCTGAGAGCTACCTTATCCGGCTGCCCCATGATTGCTTCCAGAATGCCACCAACTCCTTCTACTATGACGTGGGCCATTGCCCTGTCAAGACCTGTGCAGGGCAGCAGGATAATGGGATCAGGTGCCGGGATGCTGTGGAGCACTGCTGTGGCATCTCCAAAACTGAGGAGAGGGAGATCCAATGCAGCGGGTACACCCTGCCCACCAAGGTGGCCATGGAGTGCAGCTGTCTGCGGTGTACGGAGACCCGGAGTATTGTGCGTGGCCGCGTCAGTGCTGCTGACAATGGGGAACCCATGCGCTTTGGCCACGTGTACATGGGGAACAACCGTGTGAGCATGACTGGCTACAAAGGCACTTTCACCCTCCATGTTCCCCAGGACACGGAGAGGTTGGTGCTCACATTTGTGGACAGGATGCAGAAGTTCGTCAACACCACTAAAGTGCTGCCCTTCAACAAGAAGGGGAGTGCGGTGTTCCATGAGATCAAGATGCTTCGGAAGAAAGAGCCCATCACCTTGGAGGCCATGGACACCAACATTATCCCCCTAGGGGAGGTGGCTGGAGAAGACCCTATGGCTGAGCTGGAGATCCCATCCAAGAGTTTCTACAGGCAGAATGGGGAGCCCTACACAGGAAAAGTAAAGGCCAGTGTGACCTTCCTGGATCCCCGGAATATTTCCACAGCCATGGCTGCCCAGAGTGACCTGAACTTCATCAATGATGAAGGAGACACCTTCCCCCTTCGGACATATGGTATGTTCTCTGTGGACTTCACAGACGAGGCCACCTCAGAGTCACTTAATGTTGGCAAGGTGAAGGTCCACCTTGACTCAACCCAGGTCAAGATGCCAGAACATGTGCCCACAATGAAACTCTGGTCGCTCAACCCAGACACAGGGTTGTGGGAGGAGGAAGGTGACTTCAGTTTTGAAAGACAAAGGCGGGGCAAAAGGGAAGAGAGAACCTTCCTGGTGGGCAATATGGAGATCCGTGAACGGAGGCTCTTTAATCTGGATGTCCCAGAAAGCAGGAGGTGCTTTATCAAGGTTAGGGCCTACAGGAGTGAGAGGTTCCTGCCAAGTGAGCAGATCCAGGGGGTTGTGGTCTCTGTGATCAACCTGGAGCCCGGGACTGGCTTCTCATCCAACCCCAGGGCCTGGGGCCGCTTTGACAGTGTCATCACTGGGCCCAATGGGGCCTGTCTGCCTGCGTTCTGTGATGACCAGTCCCCTGATGCCTATTCCGCCTATGTCTTGGCAAGCCTGGCTGGGGAAGAACTGGAAGCAGTACAGTCTTCTCCTAAATTCAACCCAAATGCAATTGGTGTCCCTCAGCCCTATCTCAATAAGCTCAAATACCGTCGGACAGATCATGAGGACCCACAGGTGAAGAAGACAGCTTTCCAGATCAGCATGGCCAAGCCAAGGCCCAATTCAGCTGAGGAGGGCAATGGGCCCATCTATGCCTTTGAGAACCTCCAGGCATGTGAGGAGGCACCACCCAGTGCTGCCCACTTCCGGTTCTACCAGATTGAGGGGGATCGGTATGACTACAACACTGTCCCCTTCAACGAGGATGACCCTATGAGCTGGACTGAAGACTACCTGGCATGGTGGCCCAAGCCAATGGAGTTCAGGGCCTGCTACATCAAGGTGAAGATCGTGGGGCCAGTGGAGGTGAACGTGCGATCCCACAACATGGGGGGCACCCACCGGCAGACAGTGGGGAAGCTGTATGGAATCCGGGATGTGAAGAGCACACGAGACAGGGACCAGCCCAATGTCTCATCTGCCTGTTTAGAGTTCAAGTGCAGTGGGATGCTCTATGACCAGGACCGTGTGGACCGCACACTGGTGAAGGTCATCCCTCAGGGCAGCTGCCATCGAGCCAGTGTAAACTCCATGCTTCACGAGTACCTGGTCAACCACCTACCACTAGCAGTCAACAATGACACCAGTGAGTACACCATGCTGGCACCCCTGGATCCACTGGGCCACAACTATGGCATCTATACTGTCACTGACCAGGACCCTCACACGGCCAAGGAGATTGCACTTGGCCGGTGCTTTGATGGCACATCCGATGGCTCCTCCAGAGTCATGAAGAGCAACGTGGGAGTGGCCCTCACCTTCAACTGCATAGAGAGGCAGGTGGGCCGCCAGAGTGCCTTCCAGTACCTCCAAAGCCCCCCTGCTCGGCCCCCTGCCACAAACACTGTCAGAGGAAGGGTGTCCTCACGGAGACAGCAACGGGCTAGTAGGCGTGGCCAGGGCCAGCGCCAGGCAGGGGCCTCTCTGAGGTTTCCTGGGGTTGCTCCGCAGCCTCTGAGCAACTAAATCTCTTGGTACTTTTCTTCCCCCACCTCATGCAACAGCCATTGTGAGACTGATGCATAAACTGTCACTTGGTTAATTTAAGCACATCTGTTCTGGTGCAGTTTGCTTGTTTGTTTCTTCATGCCTTTATTTACTGTCTTTATCCCATGATACTAATAGGCACGTTGCCCCCCCCAAATGTCAAAATAAAGTCTTTTTGTCCTGTTTACAAGAAACACAAGAAATTAACCATTGGTAAAGTCTATGGCCATCAACGAAAATGTACTTGCTTCTCTTTTTGCAGGGTTTTGCTCACCTCTACAATAATGATAACCTGGGGGTGCCTGGGTGGCTCAGTTGTTAAGCGTCTGCCTTCAGCTCGGGTCATGATCCCAGGGTCCTGGGTTTGAGCCCCATATCGGGCTCCCTGCTCAGCAGGAGGCCTGCTTCTCCCTCTCTCCCTCTCCGAACTTGTGTTCCCTCTCTCACCGTGTCTCTCTCTGTCAAATAAATAAAATCTTAAAAAAAAAAAAAATGATAACCTGATGTTAAAGACCAAGTAACCAATATAAGGCATATTTCTTGGCCTTGGTCTATAGGATGTCAGAAAGACCTCTATCACAGTTGACACATATAAACGGCGGTGAAATAAAGGAATAAACTACAATATTTTTACTTGAAATGTAAATAACTTATTTATTTCTTTGCTGAGTTTGGAACTCTAGTATACATTCCATGTTAAGCTGTTGGATACAGGGTAATTGTAGCTCCTCTGCCAAGTCTGGAAAGAACATTTCACATCCACAACTGCGATAGGTTGCTAATTATCTTAGTGCATTTCCCTTTACATTTACTTTTGTTCTTCCTAGAAGCCCAGTGTACCCCAGAGCAGATGTCAATAAATGCTCATTTTGTACTTGTTTTTGAGGCCCCTGTCCTGTCTCTTAACCAATAAAGAGAGTCAGCTGCTCTGAGGGACAGAGGAGATTCTGGAAAGTGGTCACAAGGTGGAAGGAGGCACAGCACTGCCACCCCACCCAGCCCCGCCACCCAGTTACAGGGTTGAGTAACTAGGCACACACTCTGGTGATCAAGTTTGTTCTCATGGATCATATTTTCCACTTGCAGAGAAGAGCAGAGATTCCTGGAGTTGTGAGTATGTTCTGGGCTCCTGAGCAAAGCTAAAAACATGTCATTTTTTTTTCTTTCTTTCTTTCTCTCCAATACTGGGGAGCTTATACAATGGTTTGGCCCAGGGTCAGGTAAGCTGGCCAAGTGCTCCTTCGGCGACCCCCCACTGCCTGCTGCCTTCTCCAGCTGTGCTGGCCGACCTCACTCAGAAATGATGGGCTTTTTTTCTTTTTAATTTTATTCCGAGATCTTCTAAAGACGCCCAACTTTTCCAGATACCAGATCTTTGCTGTGTATAATAGTCCCTGTCCCTCAAGTATAATTACTGGTCCAAATGGACAGGGTTTTGTTTTTGGAAAAAGTATTTGGTTTAAAATAGTAAATCAGAGGCCAGTGGATGGTGCCAGAGTAATCTTGGAGGCATCTAGAGTCAGGGTGGTAGAGTGTAGCGTTGGGTGAGAGGCACACTGCCCTTCTCCCAACCTCTCCAGAATCTCTCAGAAAAGATGCCAAGGGGACTCAGGGAGGAGAGGGCATTGTTCATAATCAGGATAGAAAGCTTTCCTTGATCTCCTGGCCGGCCCAGTTGCAGCTCTTTTTGGCCACCTCTGGCCTGCACTGGAGTTTAGGCTCTTGGATCAGCATCTGCCCAGCTCCCAGGGGTTTGGTTCATAATCAACTGGAAATTTCTCTGGCTGAGCACCCTATCCTCATGACCTCTGAGAAAGTGAGTGAATGCAGGGCTGGGGCCTAGTGGCCTTGGGATTGCTCCTTGACCCACTTCCAACACTTTCCGGGGAGCGGCCATCCCTGACTATTTGGGGAGCCTGATGCCCCTGCCGAGGGGTCAAGTATTCAGCTATCTGCAGCACGGATGCCTCACTGCTTCAGGAGCCAGTTCGTGGTGCTTCAACATGACCACCGAGTTCCCTTCAAACTTGCAAAGAGAGGGTGCTGGAGAAAGCGGGTTCTCTCACCCCATGCCCTTTCCTTTCTGTTGTCCACTGAGGACCTGAATCAGTGGGCTCCAGCAGGAAGCAACTGGTACCTGATGTTTTTCTTCACTCACCAAATATTTACTGAGTGCCTACTACTCTCTGCCAAGCCATGTGTGCAAGTAGAATGGCCTTTATGTATATACAAAATACAGTACACACAGTGACACCAGACTTGGAAAGAATGGTGGTCAGAGAAGCCTTCCTAGAGGAGGTGACACCTAATTTGAATGATAGCTTGGAGCTGGTTTCCTGAAGGTGTGGCTGTCAGGTGCAGGGGCACAAACAGAAACAGTTTGTGCAAAACCAAGGGTAGAGGCTGGTAGGGGGGTGGAAGATACCTCTCTTTCAGATGAGGAAACACTATTGAGTTGAACTTATGTTACCTAATCTCTAAGCATCTTGCTTCCAAAGACAGAGGTGCTCCCTGCTAGCACTGTGATTTTGGTCAAGTGGATTTCTCCAGGACCTCATTTTCCTCATCTATAAATGAAAGAGTTGGTTGTATACTTAAAACTAACATGATGTTATATGCCCATAAATATCAAAAATAAATCAAAAATCAAAAATCAAAAATAGGGCGCCTGGGTGGCTCAGTTGGTTAAGTGACTGCCTTCAGCTCAGGTCATGATCCTGGAGTCCCGAGATTGAGTCCCGCATTGGGCTCCCTGCTCAGTGGGGAGTCTGCTTCTCCCTCTGACCCTCTTCCCTCTCGTGTTCTCTCTCTCTCATTCTCTCTCTCTCAAATAAACAAATAAAATCTTAAAAAAAAATCAAAAATAAATGAATGAGGGGCCCCTGGGTGGCTCAGTCATTAAGCGTCTGCTTCTGTTCGGGTTGTGATCCCAGGGTCCTGGGATGGGGCTCCACATTGGGCTCCCTGCTCCGCGGGAAGCCTGCTTCTCCCTCTCCCACTCCCCCTGCTTGTGTTCCCTCTCTCGCTGTGTCTCTCTCTGTCAAGTAAATAAATAGGATCTTTAAAAATAAAAATAAATGAATGAATAAATAAATTTTTTTTAAATGAAGGCGTTAGTCTCGATTAGAATCTAAACCATCTCTAATGTCTTTTCCATGATTTTCAGTTAGGCTAAGAGACACACCAGGATGCTTTTGCTTGACCAAACCACTGATGATTCATTGGGTGTTCCCTTCCTCTGTGGAGCCTCTACACACTGGGTGGACAGAACATTCATTTTATTTTTTTTTAAAGATTTTATTTATTTATTTGACAGAGAGAGAGAGCACAAGTAGGCAGAGAGGCAGGCAGAGAGAGAGGGAGAAGCAGGCTCTCCGCTGAGCAGGGAGCCTGATGTGGGGCTCAATCTCAGGACTCTGGGATCATGACCTGAGCCAAAGGCAGCCGCTTAACTGACTGAGCCACCCAGGCGCCCCCAGAACATTCATTTTAGAAAAGCCCTGGGGTTTCGGTCTCAGCCTGCTGTACACTGGCTGATCAGCCAGTCACTGAGAGTGAACTGTACAAGGACAGGCACCAGATGGCATGGAGAAAGGGCACAGGCAGAGAGGGGCCCATCAGGCCGCTTCTGTTTCCAAGCATGGATGTTTTCCAGGCAGAATGCTCTCTAGAGTTTGGGGAGCTTTAGCAGCTGAGCTGATGGAGGAAAATGTCACCAAGATGTCAAGACAAGAACAGTTTTGAAAGACTTAAGAGAGGACTTAAGCCAAGTCGGAGGCCGTACAGGGACAGGTGGAGTTTCAGGCAAAGGGACAGCTAGAGCGGAGGAGCAGAGGTGGAACTGTGCACTGAAGGCTTTTGGTTACAAGTTACGGGGGCTGCGGGAAGGACGGAACCCGGAACTGCAAAGCCATCCAAATCCAGGCCCTCACTCTCTCTGGCTGTGATGCTCTTATTCTCTCTCAGGGTTTTTTGCTCTCTCTCAATCTCTAACTCACTCTTGCCCTACATGCTCTTTTTCTCAGACTGTCTCTCTCTCTGACTTTGTTTCTGTTTCTCTCTCCACTTTCCAGGTCCCTCTCTCTGTTTCTCAGTCTCTCTCTGTCTTTGTCTCTGTCTCTGTCTCACTGTGTGGTCTCTACTCTCTTCAGGAACCCTTAGTTTCTCTTTGCAGATCAGTTTTCTCCGTTCCCCAGCGTTCATAAGAGAGGTGGTCATCTCAAGTCAAAGAGCCCTGCCCACACTCCTTGAAGAGAGCTACTGATTGGCCCAGTTTGAATCAGCGCTCCACCTCTGGTCCAATCAGCTGCGGCCATAGTGGGGGGGTGGGGCATAAAGGGCAGTCCTCCTGGAGGGTCTTGGTTGCTGGCGAGGTGGGGGAAATTCTCAGAGAAAGGGGATCCTGTTGAGCTGTGAAGACACCCCCAGAGGGTGAATACTTCAAGGGGATAGTGAGCAGATGGATCAGTGTGGGTTTACTGGGAGTTGAGGGTTTTTTTATTTCCAAACATCAGGGGATTTGAAATACATTGAATAAGATCTGTGTGGTACCTGTTCTTTGAGGTCTGTTGAGTCTTTCTTCCTGACCTAGTGCTTGGTCAGTTTTTGTAGTTTCTAAGTGCAGCTGGTTGTGGGGTGGGGGGAGTGTATTCTCTAATCATTGGGTGCGTTAACTCAAACTTGTTAATGGTTCAATTCAGTAAATAAGGAGTGTGTTGAAATCTTCCACTAGGTAGCGCACTTAATTTCTCCCCGTGATTCACTTTTGGCTTTATATATTTTGAAGCTATTTAAGATTCTACTTAATTGATTTGAGAGAGAGGGTGTGAGAGAGAGAGTGAATGAGCGGGGGGAGGGGCAGAGGGAGAGGGAGAAGCACACTCCTCGCTACTAAGCAGGGTGCTCCACTGAGGGGCTCCATCTGAGGACCCTGAGATCAGGACCCCAGCAGAAGGCAGCCCCTTAACCGACTGAGCTACCCAGGTGCCCCTATTTTGAAGCTATTTTAATGGATGCATATTAAGTATTGAATTTTTGTGTCTTCTTGCAAGTTGAATCTTTTATCATTGTGTAATTATGTTCTTTGTTCCTATAATGCTTTTTTTGTCCTAAAGCCTTGTTTTGTCTAATAATATAACTCCCAACTTT